TAATTTTTTTTTTGAGCTTTTAGAAATCGACATAAAACAAAACCGAACTGAGCAAGTTTTGATACCTATCGTGAGCACCATAACATGATCATCTACTAGCGGTCCTTTAGGCATAGCAGCATAACAATGATCGCCTACACTGACAACGAGATGCTTTTCCACATCCACATTCGACAAGCAGAACCAACATGGCGCTGCCGGAACTTTGTCACCAGTAGGGAAATCTAGATATTCATGTATGTTGGCCGAAAACAAGACCATTAATATTCAAGTAAAAACTGACCATTTCTTCGCCGTTTTCGGCCACCTCGATCTACCTTGTCTTCAACCTCTTCGGACATATCAAATCGGTATCGATCCACGACGTCATAACTCTTATTCTTTTTAAGTTGCTCCCTTCAACAAATGAGTGAATAAAAAAAGCAAAAGAACCGATATTGTGCTGTTTCTGTCATCTGCTCTCGAGGCGATTAGAGAAGCAGCAGAAGGATTTAGGATATTTAATTAAAAACGTCTTCGTTTCGTAAAACTCAATATAGCTTCATAATCAACTACGCTGCAATCCACTAAATCACTTCGTTTACAACAGCGCAGTTGCACAGCCTACAGATAATGGGAGTGAGAAGACATGTTATAGTTGTTTCTAGGAAGAAAGGTAAGATGGTAACAAAAAAAAAATGATTCGGGTTCGATTTAGAATTCTAAGACTCACTTAGCCATAAATTCTTCGAGGATTTCCATATAAGGGAATTCTGAAGAGTTTGGTGGTTGCATGGTGAGTTCATCGCGAGTCATCTTGCGTAGAGGCTGAAACAACGACCGCAGTGTAGAGTGCAAGATTAACCATTAAAAAAACATGCGGTAGAGAAATAAAGCAAGCGCAACCAGAGAGGAAGGCAAGTTAAACGAGACAAATGAATATCAGGTATTAACCCATTGGCGACCGCGCCTTTTATACTGTCCTTGCATTATCTTTTAATTTCTCTTATAACTGTAGTTGGAAATGAACAATTCCTGGACCACAATGCCTTCACATTCTCTAGAAGATTGTGAGCTCAGCTGATACTTGGAAACATGAAAAAATTATAAAAACACTGATTGATAACATAAATACTACAGGAGCACGATAAGGTGTGACCCACACGCGGTCGTCAATGGGTTAAATAACTCACCTGAATGCTGAAGGCATAAAGCCACTTTTGTTTCTTGTCATTGACTATTGGGGCTAATCCGATGAATCTAGTCACATGCTGAGCTGGTTCCAACAGTACACGGTGATTTCTAAAGAAAGTTGCCTAATTCGATGTATGTATCTGAAGTATCAATCAAGGTAAAATCTCACTACCTGTACGGTTGTCGTTCATAGTGTACCCCCATACCAGCGAA